TATACGTGCAAATATACGGGAATATTCGTGAACTCGACGAGCTATAAAATCAGGTAGAACAAGCAAAGCGTGTTGCGCAGTGTCTCGCCCCTGTTCATTTTTCGCCGGGTCCCTACTAGCCTCACGGTGGAACCTTTTCACAGAGCAACGACAACTTTCTAACCACCTTTTACTTGCGTTTCATCTCTTCCAAACACGGCAAACTTGCGAGCATGGCCGGTGCAAACGAGACTCATTTAACTTCGCCCTCCTGTATTTCATCCCCTTACCCTTGGCCGACAGTAAACAAGCTCAAAGATTGCTGTCGGCCAAAGAGGCGGAACATCCACGATGAGGGTCCGGCGATGGTAATTTTGCTTTGAAGGGGTGCGAAATATTTATTCTCGCTGCCAAATGAGTGTGCCCAGCGATGGACGACGTTTTCTTTCCCCGGGAACCAGCAGGAGCACGAAATTATCCGCCGGCCGAAGAACGTAACTGGATTTCCAAATTCGGAGACTGTAATTTGCATTATCGACTGTTTGAAAAACCACCGACACCGTTGTCACGGGGTATTTGCACGAGATCGAAATACAATCGAAAGTTGTGTATCGGATAATTAATCACGGATTGATAGGGAAACAAGTGACAAAGCAACGGCGGTATTTGTTTATCAAACACGGTTTCACGCGACGACCTCTTGCTGGATAAAAATCGCTCGTAATTGGAGGATGGTAAATTAATTTTCCACGCGAAGAGATTTCCGTGGTCGTAAGTAGAAGAAATATTTGCCCTACAAAGAGGTAGATGAGTTCCAGGGCCGAGCCATATTCCAAGATGGCTGGATTCCTGTGGGAGTGGAACGTATCGCTAGTGGATTGTTTATACGCTACAGGTTATTTATCTTCGTCCCTTACTGGCTCGTTTCCTCTTATCGATATCTCGGAAAACAATGCGCCCTGTTCCCGTATACGTACGATCCGACGAATCAGCTGGAAAGTATTGAAAGTCGCAGAGATTGCCTCGACTTAATCTCCGTCGTGAATACAATACTTACAATACCTTGAGAAACAATCTAACCATAAAGTTCCCATTTCCCCGGCGAAAGCTGGTAACTCCGGATTAAAATAACGAGCCCTTCGAATCTAGAACATTCTCCGTGTTCCATTTTTATCAGCTCGAAAACGCTAATTAAGCGGCGAATTAAAGAAAAAGGGAGAAATCGGGAGAAAAAGATGATCGATCGGTTTCAGGGAGCCGGAGAGTTTTACGAGTTATTTTGCGAGTTTCATTCGAACCTTTGTCCCAGTGGAGGGGTCATGCACTTTCGTTGGTCTTGCGCGTCCCTGGCTCACGAAGTAAGTTCATTAACGTGAATGAGGTGTTCCTGAAGAGGAGCCACTCATCGGGGAACGCCTCATGCCTCGAGGACGCCTCTCAAAGTCTTCTTATCGTTGCTTTAACGCGTCGTTACATACGAGGAACAGTGGCTCGGCTTGTGTACGTGCAAAGTAATTCAACGGCGAAGTTTTCTAATCTGCCTGTGCGCGGCAGCCTCACGCTTCGAACAATATTTATCGACTGGTCGACGTTTAAGCGTCTAAAAGTCGCTTCACGCCTTAAAAGAATCGCGTTACTGCTTTCGCTACCTTTAAACAGGTGTTTAACGAAGGATCCAATTTAACATCAATTATTAATCCATCCTTTAGAAAAATTCGATCGACCTAATGTCGATGGATCGATCTTCAAGCGGTATTTCTCGAATTATCGTTGTCTCGAGATTCGAAAGTCGTTCTATTTGTTGAACGAACATATAATCCGTGGCTTCGAATTCAGACACGGTTTTCGATCGCATTAAGCAGGTGTCTAACGAAGGATCTAATTTCGCGACAATTAATCCGTCTTCTGGAGCAATTCAATTATCTTAATCTCGATAAACAGACGGTCCCAGACAGACGCTGCTTCATTTAGTGTGTACACTTGCCTGTATGCTAATTCCATTACGGGCGAGACGTTTAACTCGATCCCTGCTACTTGGGATTCAAAAGAAAGACTCTTAGCCGTCCGTTAACTTAAATTAAATTAGCCGCGATCAAACAGAGGCTGTCGCCGAGATCACGGCGAGATAAAGACGTCCGACGTGTGGAAACCGTGGAAAGCTCCGTTCGTGGCAGCTTCGAAAGTTTTCCTTCGAATACGATTCCGAGATGGGAAGTTCGCAAACGATCGCGAAACGTTCGCCCGAAAATAAAAGTTTTAGCTTGTGAAACGGCCGCCCAGCGGCGCTTCCTTCTCAACGCGTTCTCGATTTAATTTTAGCACTTACGAACTCAGTCCACTCGCGAGTACCATCGAGGCGAAACCGACCACGCGTGCAAGCGAAATCTACGCCGAGCGACGTGTACTCGACGTTTCCGGGTGACAAATCCGTTAAAACCGAGTACCGAGACACGAAGTCTCCCGTTTCGCTGCCAAAGTGTTCCTTGTCGTCCACTTCCTCGTCGAGTGTTCGATTTTCAACGATTTCTAACGATTCAGGTAAACAGTGCTCGTGACTAATCGGATTAACCGGATCAAACGGATAAAAGCATCGTGTCCTCGTGGTTCGAATTTGGGTGAACTAATAATCGTGATCGAGATCTCTCGAATCGTCGGTCGAGATTAAATATTTTCGTCATTCGAATTCTCGTAAAAATAAAAAAAGAGATGACGGAAGGCCGTATCCGCACGGAACGACGCGATTCCTCTCTCCGTTTCATTGCTCAAGAAACGTTGAAACGTTATGGTCGCGTACAGCGTGGTCCAAGAATATCCGCGTTGCTCGAGGCACGCAAGGGCAGCCAAAAGTTCAACATCCTCGTCGGAAGCGACGTTTGCTTTCCCTTAAGCACCGCTAATCAGTCCCCGCAAACAACAAACACGGAATTCTCGGTATGCCGTCGTCACAAACACCTTTGGAAGCTCTGAACTCCGAAAAATCGGCAGACCGTGTCCCTTTCCCCGATCACGATTCTGTAATGGCGTCGGAAACCGAGCCGCCTAGTTAGAGGGTAAACTTGGTCGCGGATACAAGTTGGACTCGCGGAATCGGTGGTCCTTTGTACTCGCGTGGAAATCGCGTTGGAGAAACGCGTCACGTAGTTGCGAAAGTTGGTGGTTGGGCTAAAAATAAAGGCGCGAGGAATAATAAAGGAAGGGAAAATAAAATGGGCAAAGGAAAAGGCGATGGGAGAAAAAAGAGCCGCGTTATTCAGTCGACAATCAACCACGATGCAAATTACGGGTATTCATAACTTAACGCTACCGACCGCTTTTAAGCGCGCGTTAAAGCTGCCCACGGTTTTATTTCACGCCGCATAATCCGGTTTGCCGCGCGCACGTGCCGCGTTTTTTTCTCGTAAATTTTGCTAAATGATTTTCGCACCGTGGAAATCATTCGCGCCGTTTCCACGCCGGCTTTGTGAACTCGATGAATGGGGTAAATTGAAACCTTCCCCCGAGCCTCGCGCTCACCCCTACCCCCGGCGTCGCTGTTATTCCTCGCCTTCCTGTAATTAATTCGTTACGTTTGTCGTCGTTAATGGACGCGATCGTCCCGTCTCGAGGATAAAATCGCGGCTGCTATTTCGATTAACTCTCGCGACATTGTTTTCGGAAATTTCGAATCGCTTCGACGTCCATTCGCGCAAAGAAGCCTCGCGTGGTTACGAGCGGACCCTCGATACGGATCATGCGTTTCGACTCGAAACGACGATCCCGTAAATCATGCGCGGAAGAAAATCGTGGAAAGAGAGTAGAGGGAATGGCGAGTTCCGGCGCGAACGTGCGCGAAGTTTACCAACAGCAGAAGCTGTTCTATTTGGAGCGAAAATAGAGCGCTCTCCGGCCGTCTCTTTCCC